TTTTTTTTTTTTTTTTTTTTGGTACCGGGGATCGAACTCGGATCCTTGCGCTTGTGCAGCAGGCGGCAAAACCACTGAGCTAAATCCCCTGCCCAACCAAAGTCTTTTTGACTAAAATGGAGTCACATGGCAGCTCTTACCTGCAAGAGAAACTGAGAACTTGAAATTTTACTTTTCCAGTCTCTGTGGTAGATGCTGGTCCAGAAAACAGACAGAAGAGGGAATGAATTTTCAATGAACCATGGTGGGTCACAGCTACAGTACCAAATAATCAAAAATAAAGAATAAATTAGAGCATGAGACTATACAAAGCTAAAGGACAGAATGATGGAAGGCCATGGAACCAGCAAGAACACCAAAGATATGGACAAAGACAATCAAAGTCATGGGCCAATACCAAAGTACTTAAGACTTTCTTTTCTTTAATTTTCTATATTGTAAACTATTTCCACTCATATTAATGGAGAACTTAGAGTCTGAGAGTATTGACTAACATAGGTGTTCTAGGGGCCCAGGATTTAGCTCAGTGGTTCTGCCACGTGCTTTGCAAGCGCAAGGTCCCAAGTTCAAACCCTGGTACAAAAAAGCCCCACAAAAACATAGGTGTTCTTCTCTCCCAGGACATGGAAGGACCATATACTCACTACTCACAAGAATATCTCCATTATTGTAACTGTTCTCCTGTTCTAGGACAAAGGTTCTGGCAAAAAGGATTAGAAACACCACATTGGTGAGATGGTGACTGGAAAAGACAATAGAGCTCTCAGGAAAGAACAAAGGAACGCAAATTTTACACATTTTTCTCCTCTGTCCTCCTCAACACCTGACTAACTTGTAGCCTTCAAGTTCTACCTTAGTCATCATCCCTTCCTTGGAGCCTCTTTGCATTTCATACCCTATCTAGCAGCTGTCTAGCAGGCTGGCCCTGCTGCATGGACACATCTCATTAGCATAGTGACATCCCTTCCTTCAACAATAGCTCAGATGCCACCATGTGCTGAGTGCTGCTGCAACCCCTGGGCAGTTCAACCTCTGCCCTGCAGAGCTGCATTGCCCAAGGGAAATGTAATGTGAGTTTTATTCATAATTTTAAGTTTCCCATTATTTGCATTAAATAGGGGGAAACAAGAAGTAAAATTAGTTTTTCATAATGCTGTTTGTTTAAAGCATTATATCCAAGATACTATTATTTTGACATAATATAACAATTATTAGTGAGATATTTTACATTCTTTTTTTCATACTAAGTCTTCAAAGTCCCGTGTATCTTTTAATGTATTCCATTTGGACTGGGCCCATCTCAAGTGGCCAACAGTGGGCTATGGTGAGTGGCCACCATGCTAGAAGGAGCTCTTCTAGAACATACAGACCATACTTAACTGCTGATAGACCTAGTTAATTGTGCCTAAGACGGAGAATTTAGGGCATGAGATCACAGAAGCTGTTTTATGTGAGAAAAACCAGCTGCTTCCCTACTTAGGTATTTGTTTTAGCACTTTCACCATTGCTCAGAGTCTAGATCTAAGACGCATGGCTGATTAGCTACCTGATTTATTCAAAACCCTAAAGTTGACTTACTCCAGAGTCCTGGATCTTGGTGACAGAAATCTAAGAGATTAGTGTGTCAAATGGCAATGGTAGTCAAACATGCCAGCAAGTGCATCCATCTCTGTGGTCCCTGGTTCTCCCAATATGGCCTGGGAGATAAATCAATCCCTTCTCCCTTCTGTCCTTGAATAGCCAAAAGCTAAGAATGATTTTTACACTTTTGAATATTTGAAAGGAAATCAAAAGAAGAACACAATTTTGTGATAGATAAAAATGCACAAAATTCAATTTTCATTGTCTATAAAAAGTTTTACTGGAAGACAGCCACACTCATTCATTTAAGTATTATCTAGAGCTGTTTGGGTACAACAATAGCAAAACTGATGAGCTGCAAGAGACCATATGGTCCACAAAACCCAAAACATTTACTTATCTGGCCTGTTTCAGAAAATGTTGCCAACTCCAATGTTGTGTATGTAAATCACTTGAGGGGCTTTAAAGAAGAACAGATATCCAACACTACCCCCAAGTACTTCTGAATTAGTCTGTGGTGAGCCCTAAGTAACAATACACAATACAAAAGATTTTACTACTGTAGCCAGTCTGGTTTGGAAACCAAAGTACAGGTAATAAGAAGACTAGGTGGAAAGCTTGGACTCAGAATGAAGGGGTTCATCGAAGGAACTTGAGTTACATCTCACAGCAGCAGTCTGAACCTGTCACAGAAGGCCTCTTGGGGTGGCATGCCAAGGCACATTCTTCTGAGTCAGGGTTTATCCCTGTTCTGTTCACCTCTGTGACCTTGATGTTCCTCTCCTTCCAAGCTGAACCAGATCCTCTGTTGATTGACACATTCTTCCTGTGCATTCACCAGTTAAGTCACCCTTATCAGCCTGGGGGCCATTCTGTCCTTCTCCAACAAGATTTTGTTTGTCTGTTCTGAGTCACTATTGCTGCTTTTATAGCGTTCTCAAGTCCAATCTAATTTTCCTTCCTTTTTTCCAAAATATTTCTTCGTTGCCTCAAGGCCTTAGGAAATGCACATTTCAACTGTTTATTTCCTTTGAGTCTCCATCCTGATGTGCACTGAGCCCCTTCTGTGCTTGGTGGATGGCTTCATTGGTAGTGGAAAGGACAAATGAATGCATGGGAAAGAATAGTTAGAAAAAATGCAGAGGGATTTTGCAGATTATGTGTTGTGGGTGTAGTGAATTTAAAATTAGAACTTCCAGATTTGAATGTTGCCTGCACTGCTTTCCCTAGAAAGCCCCATGAGAAGATCCCTTTGTCTTCCTGAGAACAAAACTTGGAATACTCATAAGATGGGAGAGAAGTCCTGCTTCACCGAACAGCATGCAGATGGCTTACCGAGTGCTGCAGTGCCTCACGTCCTGGCTGGCCCATAATAGAAAGTTCCCTCTTCCTTAATCAGGACTCTAAAAGATCCTAATTGTCTATAGCTGCAAATAGTTGGCAATCTCATTTATGAAGTTGTCCACCAATAGCAGTATTATTAAAGGTGACTTGGTAAAATATTTTATTGTTTGTACCTATATTTTATAGTATAAATTTAAAAATTATTCTAGATAATAAAATTCTGTAATTGATCATGGTTTTAATAGGTGATTTTTTCCATAAAGTATCACACAAACCTTACTTGTAGGCCCTCTCCCATTTCATATTATGTTATTTTGTAGTTTTTTGTGCAATGTTTTTTTGTTTGGAGATGGGAAAAGTTTTGAGCCCTTCTCTTTTATTTTATATACTTAGAGAAAACATGGTACATCCCCCAAATTGTTGTCATTTCCTAGTTGTTGCTTCTGGAATGTTCATAGATATTGAAGACTCTAAAGCTCTGACATGAATTCCCTCTAGCATCATCTGAGGACATAGTTTTAGCTGTTGCCCCTTCTGGCCACAGACTCAGAGCATGAAGCAGGACATCCACTGTCTTCAGTCTCTGAGATGACACCAGTGTGTGGCTGAGGTTAGGCGTCACGAACCTCTCCTCCCCTCCCCTTGGTGTCTAACATTCCAGGGGAAGCAAAGCCCGGAGTTTCTATGATTCGGAGGAGCTGAAGGTGAAACCCAGTTGTTTCACCCAAGGGCAGTGTTTCAGGCTAACGCTAATCCAAGAATTACAGGATGTACAGTTTTCTTGAAGTCTACCAAACTTTCACTAAGTAGACTATTGCTTACATTAATTTAGCTATATAGCTATAAACAGTATCAATGACAGAATTAAGAGTATATACGTTTCACTCATTTTTTAAATTCAAATAAGCAGATTTTATTTCATTAGGTCTCTTTCATGAAGTGGACACTATCATTAACATTTTTGTAATAATAGGATATCAGTTTAATATCTTTTCATATATTATTCCATACAATTGAATACTATTAAATTATTACAAATTGTCACAGTGCATATCTCTTGATTTTAGTGCCCAGCATTTATCCTTTCTTATTTTAATCATTGTGTACCAGTTTTTCTTTCTCATGATATGAGGAGAAGTATGCATACAGAGGGCAATAGTCTTGCTTTAGGTCACACATCTAGTGAGTGTCAAAGTCAGGAAATAAACCTGTGTTGTAAGACACTTAGTCTCATCTTTCTTTTTCATCCCTAAAAAATAGAATCATTTATTTTTACACTCTTTTGTCTTTGTAATTTTTTCCCTGAAGATATTAATATCTTAATTGATTTTGGTCAATGATTTCATTAACTCGATAAAATCTTCTTTATTTAGAAGACTGGAAAAATATACATAAAGAGGTAGACTTGGCACTATGTCAGGCTGTACTAGGTAATTAAAACTCACCTAAGACATCTCAGAAAGATTCTGAAGAGTTGTTTTCCTGGTCCAGGTAGTGAGTGATAGAGAGAGGGAAGTATCACTTTGTTTTGCTTAAATGATTAAGAATTGCTTTGGGGGGTATCTTTCTGAAATAAATCATATCCTCTGGCGTCTTGTTGGTGCTTGAGATGCTTTTTTAAGTTATATGGAAAAATGTTTAAGTGCTTTTCAATTTTGTTTTGGTTGAGTTCTGCTGTATTTGAATATGATTGTAGTTTTTATTCCCTTGCACTGTTCTTCTTTGAATGGTTTTAATTTTTGTATGCGTGTGTGTGTTTGATAATAAAGTTATTTTTTTAAAAAAAGAATTGCTTTTTGGAGACTTAGTGGAAAGGAACCATTGGAGAGAGGTGATGAACTGAATGTACTTAATCTCACAAAGGGTCATTTTAGAATGAACTAGGAAGAGTCCCAAGGGGAGATGAGAGAATTAGAGTAATATTGTGAAGAGGGGATCCTACAGTGGCCAATAGAATAGACTCTACTTGTCAAGACAAAGGTTTGCCAAAACTTGAATATCTGTACAGAATTTATTAAAATGTTGATTTAAATGTTAACACTTTCTTTTTTTTTTTTTTTGGTGCCGGAGATCGAACTCGGGTCCTTGCGCTTGCGCAGCAGGCGTCAAAACTACTGAGCTAAATCCCCAGCTTGTTAACTCTTTCTTAAAGCAATACTTATAGTGCTTAAAAAGTTATGCTAATAAGTTTTTTATTCTTTCTTGCAATCTAGTTTTTTGATGTTCAATAAAATGAGAATAGTCACAGGATAGGACCCCAGAGTAGTGAAGGTTTCTCTGTAGAAATGAAAAGCCAAGTGAAACCATAACATAGACCTCACATGAACCAGAATGTAATGCAAGGAAATTTAATGGCAAAAGCAGTTTGGCACCAAGTTGAACTACAGGTTATACATAGAAAAATAAGCTTGTATAAATACTGCTTCTACGTGAGAAAACTAGTCATTTAGAAAGCTTAGGAAATTAAAAGAATAAAGCACAAAATAGTAAACGTGAAGTTAAAGAATAAGGTTTTTAAACCCAAAGAATTATATTCAATCTATTTATTCAATGAAGTTTTTTTTTAGTGCTTTCTGTATGATAAGAATTATCTTAAGTCTGGAGTAGGAATGGAAAGCAAGACAGACAGGAACCTTGCCCTCAACCATGTTGCATCTGAAGGAAGCCAAATAACCAAAAAACAATCAGTAAGTTAATAACATCATGGCAGCTTCTTAAGTGCTGTGTAGGAAATGAACAGGGTGTGGCTACGAATGGCCACTCAACCCCTTGTCATGGCAGTGGTGCTTCCTGCAGTCAGAGAGGGCCTTCTCAGAAGAGCTGACATTTAAGGTGAGATCTGAGACTAAGAAAAGAGCTAGCCACAGGACAAGCTGGGGAGGGGCATGTTCAGCAGAGGGAATGGTTTATGTAATTGCCCAGGTTAGCACTTTGCATGTGAGTAATAAAGAGATCAGAATGCACAGTAACATGGGCGCGCGCACACACGCGCGCGCACACACACACACACACACACACACTGAATGATGATTAAAAGCATACATCAGCTCAACTAGTATCCAGAAATCAAGATGGGTAAATTTCCTTGGTGTTATATTTCAAGGTATTCTAACTCCTTTTCTCTCTTATCCCATCCCCTTACTCTATCCCAACCACACAAATCTAACTTGGAAGAAGATTTAAAATGCTGGCTTCCAGAGAGAAGTGTTGTTTTTATCTCTAGTTTAGAATATCATCAAATGCCCCCAGCCTGTGCTTGGATGGTAGGTGGTTTTTGTAAATTAATGTTTGGAATCCTCATTTCTAAAGGACTAGTATGCAGCAAAAGCCACTATGTATTAATGGAAAGAAAGCTCATAAAATACACTGCCTTAATTGGGACGCCCAACAAATACATTTCTTTTAATGTTATGAGTATTAGACGCTATTCTGAGCTTAATTTCTTAGTCATGGTGACAAATCAATTTGTTGAGTATATTTATGACATTTTACTTATGGTGAAAGCTATTTTTCATATTCCAAAAATCTTTAAATGTTTGTTTCTTCTGTTCTTTGTCCAGCCTTTCTTTTATTATATCCATTTATTTCTCTAGATCATTGCTCATTAAACTTCCAAAATATCATTTTAAATTCAAATTTCTAGTGATTGTTTTTGTTTCTGCTTTGGTAGGGTAAGATATTGTCATGTTCTTTTGCCTTTTGAAGCACAATAAAACAAACAGTAGAGACATGCTGTGGTATTTTGGAATCCATGTTTTGCTAAGTACCATACCAGTAAATCAACTCTTGAATGAAACAAATCTTTAAATAAACATAGTTCTTAAAATGGCTATGTTCGGGTAATCACAAAGTCATGAATCGGAGAATTTCAATGACAAATCATGTATGTTTTTATGTTAATTAGGAAGCATTTCCCATTGACTTTGAGATGCTATTACAATTCAACCTGTCTGTAGTGTTTTATGTGCCTTAAGACTTGTTGCTACTGTATAATAACTAGGACAGGAGAGCTGCAGGGTTCCAATTACTCTGGCAAAGAAACCTTATTACATTGTCTCCGACTAAGCATGTAATTAATGTCTCTATTTCAAGGCCATTTCAGCAAATTCAAAACCCAGAGATTATCCACACATATTTAGAAATGCATAGGAATACTCGCGATGTCTTCATTGCAGCTGACAGTAATGCCAGAGAAATTTTTTCAGATAAATGTAATATTTAGCACAGGTAGTAAATATTTTATTATAACTAAAGCTGTGGCTTGAAATTAAATGTGTAATTCTAAAATTTCTCAATGGGAATAGGATCATCCTCCACTCCATGGTGACTTTTTTTAATGAGTGAAATGTTTTCAGGTGTTCAAAATTTCTGGGTAGAGGTCAGTAATCTTCAACACATTTCTGTGTTTATATGCCACCATTCAACTATTCCATTATGTATTTTATCAAAAGTATCATGCATAAACACTTGCCTATTAAAATTTATTTTTATTTTGAATTACTTCCTAATATTTTCTTTTATATTACAGGTAGATTTTAGGCAAATTATTTGTTTTATGGAATTCTTTTCAGGATGTCAGAGAGGCATTATTTTAAAAGTATATTTTAAAGAAGAGTTTAGTGAGATAATATTAAGAATAATTATTCTAAAATGTGTCACCCCTTGAAGGAGAAGGGGAGATGGTATATGTGTATATCATATGAACTTCAGAGGAAAAAGAAAAGGCAAGCAAGCAAAGAAAGGAAGGAAGATGGAACGTTTGGCCTTGATTTCAGCCCCTATTGTGTGTCAGGTCCTGTGCCCAGCCCTACAAATACAGTTTCATTTTTGTACATGGTGCTGAGAAATGCCATGTATGCTTTGAATCCTTGGGTCTCATAGTAGTGCCACATTCAGAGCTGTCTGCTTGACATTTGCAGAGGAGAAGGTAAGAGGAGATGAGAAGATGAATATTCTTGACATTGCTAAAATGTTAGAATTATTTAAAAGTTCTATTAAGTAAGAGGCAGTTTCAGAGCCTGATTTATGACAGTTGATGAAATTTTCACAAGGAAGTATTATGAAATTGGAAAAAAAAAAACCCTTGTAGATGCACACAGGACATCATACGCATATGAATTTCACTGCACATGGTTGAGTTCCTGAATCCTATTTATAGCTTTTAGGACACATCCTCAAGTGATAAATGAACATTGAAATGCTACACATATGTTTATATCCACTTTTAGCAGTAGAGTTGTTTCAAAAAATGGTATCTCCGCTGGGCCAAATCTCAGACATTTGGAAAGAACAAAAAAATTTGAAATTTCGAAGCTGAACTAAAGGAAATTCTTTTTAAAAAACACCCAAAACTGGAAGATTTAACAATAGTAAATTAGACAGAAAAAATGATTTTGTAAAGAACAGTATGAGAAATAAAATATATTAGAATTCATCACCAGTCATTTGTTGGTTGGTTTTAGTTTTTATGGACACAATAGATATTGCCTTCGAATTTTCATGCCCTGTAAGTAAATTCTCTGTATTACATTTTAAAGTTGTCAATTTAAACATTATAATTTTGGATAAGCGACAGGTTTCTTTGTTTTTAAAATGGCCAGGAAAGTTAGAGGTTAGTATTTAATGAAGACTCTGTATATGTTTTTGGACTTCTCTTTTACTGGCCAATAAAACAAGGCAAGAGAGGCTGAGTTTGAAATAGAGGGTATCTGTGTTCAAAAGGTGGCATTTTACAGCTATTGCAATAAAATTGAAGACAATTAGAATCAGAAGACCTCTTTCTTATGTTTCCTTTGGTTACAAGTTGCAGAAACCCAGATAAACTGGTTTAAGCAAAAAAGAGAAGGGATTAGCTCACCTGAGTGAAAAATCTGAGAACATTACTTGCTTTAGGCATAGCCAATAAAAGAACTCCAATTTTGTTATTAGGTTGGTGTTCCTCATTTTTTCCATCTCTTGACCTTGTCCTGCTGTCTATGAATTGACTTTTCACTCTAAAGTAGATGCAATGTGTTGGATATCAGAAGTGCCATGCCTAAATTATCTTTATCCAAGCAGGATGAAACTTTCTTTTTTCTCAAAATTAAACAAAACCTGGAATGTACTTTAGGGAATTAATTTTGGCCATGGAGCAAATGCTTCAGACTGGGGCAGGTGATGCTGGAAGGTCAGACCAAGGTCATGTGCTTTTCAGGGTTGCGAGGTGTGGGCTCCTCCAGAGCCTGAACCACCAAAGCACTGAGATTGGAGGAGGTGAGATTGTGCTTGAGCTGCTGCTGACCTAACCTCGGAGGGAGCAGCCAGGTACTGAGAAAAGTGTTTTACTTCTTACAGCAATGCAAAATACTTGAGAGGAGTAGTGTAAAATATGAATCAGAATTTTATTAAAAGCATTCACTGTCTATCCTAAAGATACTGTTTTAGGAATTGTACCTAGTGCTTGCTTCGGCAGCACATATGCTAAAATAGGAATTGTACCTTGATCGTGAACATAAACCCAAAGTTTATAAATAATTTAAGGAACAATTCCCATCTTTTTTCCTTCCTAACTATAATTTTGAAAGCTTCCATTATCATAGAACTTGTTTCTCAGTCTAAAATGTGTGTTGAAATGTAATTTTGATTTCTTTTGTTTTCTTTATATTTTGTTTCCTCCGAGAATATGTGCCCTAAGTATTGCAGATCAGGACAATTGATATGCCCCCTCTGCTAGCTGAAAATTCCATAAAGGCATGGTAGGGGCAAATCTGTATATTTTCCCATTGTAAGAAAGACATTATCAAATATAATTTATAGAAACAAAACACTATATAAATTTGGAATTGCCGAGTGCCTCATACAGAGGAAGAGATATTTGAATCCAAACTAATAATACTTCATTAGTTGAAGTCCTATTGTCAGTTTGGACTCAACAGTTGAAAATCATGAAT